TTTGAAAAAAAAAGCAATAAAAAGGAAAATGCTTGTACTTTATTTTTTGCACTTCCAAAAAAAAGTTTGGTATACTCCTCCCCCAAATGCAGCATGAGTTTAGCACCAAATTCAAATACGCACACACACGCACACATACGCACACACAGACACCGCTTCTCTGACTCTTCCACTATGCGTCTCTGACAGTTGCTGTAAGAGACTTAGCGATTTTTACCTTTCCCTTTTCTCTCAAAAATACTCTGAAAACTTTTAGTTTGACGCTATTATGTTTGGAGTTCGGACTATACAACCTCCACTTCTTTGCACTCTGTTGTTCTTTTCGTAACCCTACTTCTTTAATTCTGGCGGTGTCTGCGTCTTTGACCACAACACTTTCTGCGTCCCTAACATCGAGAAGGAAAAAATAAAAGACAACTCACAAAGTGTACCCTTCTCGCCTTTTTTGAGGTTTTCCCTCCAGGAATAGAGCTGCTTCTTAGAGACTTGACGAATTCCGAATTCTGCAGATTTGCGTAAAGTGCATAGCTGTTAGAACGCATATCTACGGAGTTATACAATATAGCAGAACGTTGTTCAATACGCGGATGAGATGCCCGATACTGCTGTGTCCCTTCTCCTAATTCAATTATGCTAATATTCGAAGCGTTACAATCAAATTAATTTGTTCAGCATTTCGCACTGGTAACAAGCGAGACAACATGTGGTGGTGAGAGACGCAGACATTATAGGGCGTATTCTGCTTGCCAGCTGAATTAGTATTCGAGGTAGTTTGATGAGTGTTTTGCCAATGATACCGGGTGAAAAGTCAGAGACGCAGGCGCATAAAAAGCGCTTGAGTGGAAAGTTAGGAAAAATGGAGTTTTGCATGCGAAACAGTTATTCAAGTGCATTTGAATCAAATAAATGCTTCATTTGAAAGAAAACTTCAATTTCTTCAGAAATTGCACTCCTTAGTTTCTTTCTTACTTTCCTTCTCTCTCTCTCTCTTTCCCTCTGCCTTTAGCTATGCTTGCATGTCCGTCTACCTGTCTACGTGTTTGTCTCGTTTACTCTGCCATTCTCTGCTTCTCTCGCCCCTCCAACTTCTACGTTGTCCTATCATAAAACTCCTCAAACACCACAGAATAGAAAATATTCAATTGTGTGGTAAAGTACAGTATATTAACAGGTATTTAACTGCTGTGAGAGTAAACACAGTGAAATTTCAGCTAGGTTGCAACAATAAACATAAATATAATTGAAAGCAGATTTGCATCTAAAACAATTTTTTTTTCAAATAAGAAAAATTCTAATGATAAATTTGTTGTGGAGCAGAACAAGCGCAGAGTAACAGGTAAACAAGCCTTATTTTTGGACCCATATCAATACTAAAAGCTAAAGATCTGTTTCTATCAAGTCATGCATGAAAATTATGTTGCATAACAATCTCTGGATCACGACAATGAATTATTTATAGAAGGTTGGAAAATCAAGAGACTCAGTAAATAAATCAGTGCGTTGAAAATTGGCCCACAATGTTCATTGTTTCATGCTATATAAGTCACTAAAACATTCCAGAAGAAAATCAGATATTTGACCGGGGACCAGTTTTCGTGCAAAGCTGAAGAAATACGCAACTATATAGAAAAATTCATCCACTTTTAAAGCATTCTTAAGCGTCATAAAACATGAGATTTGGGTGGTGGAGGGGAGAAAGTAGGAAGAACGCATATCGAACAAAAATAGGGTGTAAAATCTCGAGAAAATTGAAGGTGAAATTTGAGAAGAAAAAAGTTGGCGTATGAACAAGAAGGCCTTCAAAACCGAATTGTTTCTGAAAAAAAATCTCATCAAAAAACCGGCGCAAGGAAAATTCTGACGCTCAAGAAAATCCTCAAAAAATTTTTATCGCACGACTTTGATCTCCGATATTAATGGGCATTATGTTCCCGGGCACATAAACGACTCAATCGACGTTTTATTCATGGCAATAAGAGCAACTTGAGATTTTGGGTCGCCTCTTCGAGAAGAGGGATATGTAGCAGTCGGTCTGGCCCTTTTTTTGGAGAGAAGCCTTCTAAGAGTGCAAATCTTGGCATAATTGAATAGTCGCTCGGGTTTTTTTTCTGCGGGAGGGTGTCGGGAAAAGGAGGTTTGAGAGTACTAGAGAAAACAGCGGCTCTAGGTAGTCTAACATCTCTTTGTTCTTCCTTGGGGGGGGGGGGGGTGCTTTCCACTTCTGGTTGTTCAAAAATCCACAAGGGGACCCTTGGCGCCATCTCCGAACTCGTCAACACAACGGCAAGTGGCTAGTGCTCAAGTGACAAGCGGCTCATTAGTGCTCTCTCAGCCTAAAGGGTCCGCTGCCCCATTTCTTAGTACTGATGTCAGAAATCAAAGAACGAAAGAAAGCTCCAAAATTCTGGAGAATCTCGACGAGTTTTCGCAGAAAGTTCCAGGAATCTGGGCGAGTTTTCGCAAAAGCTCAGAGATGTGGAGAACTTTTCGCAGAGCCTTGTAAATATCTGGGCGAGTTTTCGCAAAGAGTCAGAAATCTTTACGAGTTTTCGCGGAAAATCAAAGAAATTCGGACGAGACTTCGGAAAGACCCAGATTCTGTCCGAATTCTCGCAGAAATTTGGGACTGTAAGAGTTTTCGCAGAAAGTTCCAGAAACCCGGACGAGTTTGCGCTTGAACAGCTAACCATGAATAGCCTCAGAGCTGTTACAAAGCAAAAGCAGCGGTTTGTTGACGAGTAGCCCTTGCTTTCCTTTATGGAGCCGATTTCTACCCCCCCCCCCCCCCGTTATGTCGTTTCATCTCATTTCGGCTCATTACCCGGCTGTCCTGCGTTCCCCTAGCATAAACAAGAAGTTGAACGAAATTGAATACTATAAACATCAAGCCACGCCCATTTTTATGGTGTTTACTAGTTGTAATAGTGGAAGCGTGAAAATGGGCTAATGGGTAAGCAAAGCTACCAATGTAGGTTCCAATAATCAAACTCATATTCTGGCAAGTTGCCAAGGAAAATGTTCTAGCCACGCAAACATTCAAATTTCTGAAAAGATTTAGAAGAATTGAAGAAAACGTAGAAAATTGTCTATCTCGAAAATTCTGGATTACCAAGCTTTTTCAAAAGATGGAGACCAGTTCTCGCAGCATAAATTTTTTCCAAGATATGGCTTCTTGTGTGTTGATACCGCTCTATCAACATACAAGAAAATCGGTTTTTTGAACGAACTTTCCATGAAACCGTTGCCGGGGAACAGTTCTCGTCACTCACTCCCTCATATCTTTTTGTCGGTTAATACTTGACAATTTGCTGAGTTGACGCAGAGCAAACGGTCGCCTTGACTAGGGATGACCCGATGACGGGGACCAGTTCTCGTCACACAGTCTCTCAATTTTTTGTTTCATACATGATAAAGTGGCCGCATTGCAAAGGTAGAGGTAGCAAACATGGCGTAAGGATTAGAGATGTCGTAGTGACGGGGACCATTTTTGTCACACAAATATTTCGATTTTTGTCTTTTCACGCAGCTTTAATAGATGAGCAAAAAAATTTTTAGTAATGATTAGAAGTAGAAGAAGTTTTCTGAAACATAGGTGAAGATATGAGAGTTTTCGAAACTCGTGAAAATCTAGTCATTCGACATGCAGTGGTCGTCTTCATCCCAGGGCCCGGCACAAGGTGGGCAAACGGGGTTTTCCGAAACGAATACCCCTTTGATCCCAGTAAGTTTTACGAATACTCCCTTGAGCCCAAAAATGACGTTTTGTGCTTGTGCGACGAGATTACCGGCCACACTTCGCCTAAAAGCGCTCAAAAGCGCCCAAATTGCTCAAATTCCTCATATTACTCAAATTGCTGTACCAAGATAGGAAACAGGAAGAAAAATAAGCAGTAAAAAGGATTAGGGAATGAGAAATTATCAAAGAAACGCAGTCATAGGAATGAGAGACGCCGTTCCCGCGCGTATCGATTGACTGGGGCGCGCTTTCTATCTTAGAAAGCTGGGCTGCTGATGTCATTTTGGGCTCCAACAAGGACAAGAGGAGGAGTTTCGGAACCAAAATTTCACCATGTAGTAAACTTTAGATGTACAACAGATTTATGTAAAAATTTTGAGAAAATTATGTGAATTGAGAGTTTTGCCGACCTCAGGTGGGAATTAGGTCGGCAAATGCCGACCTAATTTGGAAATAAGTTAAGGAAACTCTTCATTCACATAAGTTTTTCATAATATTTCATACTTTATTACTTAGTCCTATTGCGCATATACACACCGAAGCTAGCGCGATTTCGTTACCTCTGCGTTGCAAACGAGCCATTTTTCCATTTCTTTGGTAGCGCAAAATTTCCAGAAAAAAGTTTGCCACAACCTTCAGTCACATAATTTCTCAATGAAACTCCTCAGTTAAGTCCTGCAAGCCCGTGTGCATGTACTTACCAAGTTTCATACCATATCGTCCATCTGCGCTTTCCAAACGAGCCGTTTAAATTCACATTTTCATTTACCAGTTTTGCGAAATTCTCGGAAAAAATGCTAATTACTCGTTCCGTTCACATAAGTTTTTCATAATTTTTCATACTATGTTTCCACTAGCCTCTGTCCGTTCGCACACAAAATTTGGTGCCATATCGTTACACACACATTGAGAACTAGTCATGTATGCAGTTACAAATAGCATCGCTTGGGCGACGTCGCGCGTGCGGCACTTAGCGATGGCGCGGTTTGACGCGCGCGAACTCCAGTGTTCGCCTATTGAGGCACATAACATGTCAAGATAAGTAGCGAGCATGAACTACCAATTTTTTTCCGGGGCTCTGCCCCGGACCCCGCAAAAACGATTTCCCCTTTGCTTTTTGGCCCCAGAACGATTTCTAGCTTGTCATTTGCCGACCTCGTGCCGGGCCCTGCTTCATCCGACTTCATAAGGGAAACTTTATAATATATCATACTACTGTATCGTTGTCCGGTTCCATCTCCTGCAAAAAGACGCAAAAACTCACCACAAGTGGTGGTGTTCTGATCTTGGCCGAGACTACTGTGGATGCTTCACAAACACGTGGAATAGATGGTTGCTTCTGTTTATCGAGACGACAATATTCGACCAGTGCTCCCTCTTCGTACGCTCCATTTTCGTTATCATATGACGAGTACTGTAAAATGATAGATTGGTGCATGTAAATTTTGTATTACGAGACAAAATTCTGTATATGATTCTACCGACAGATAAATCCGCCAAAATTCTGATTTGGTACAAGATCACAAGTATTCATAAACCTTTGAAAAATGCATGAAAAAACCCTACTTTTCTCATGATTTAACTATAACACTTATCAGACTGAAAATCTATTTTACCAAGAAGCGAACTTGTTCACAAGATTTTGGGGTATCTGTATTTCTACACTGGGCATCCACTTTATGTTGAATGGAAAGGATTCAGAATACGAGCGCTTGAATATTGTAACTGAACCAAAAGGTTATTCTACCTTTATTTTTGAGTATTCCATTGCTGGATATGAATAATTCATTTACATTGTATAACTTTATGAGCATAAATTGACTAATCCAGATTTCTAAAAATTCAAACTTAGCCTAAACTAGTTTTTTTTACTGCGAATTTCACAGCGATGTTGTATTTTGATTTATCAAAAGGTTCTCAATAATTGTTGGAATTTTGAGGCGGTGAGCTTGATTTCGATAAGCAATCTATTTGGCATTCATATGTATGTAATCACTTATCATCCCAAAGCTTATCAGCTGCAGATTCATTGGGTAGTACTAGATTTGGAAAAAATTCAGCTGCAGATTCATTGGATAGTACTAGATTTGAAAAAAAATCACTTTAACCATATTATGTTCAAAAGATCTCTAGATATTTAGGTATACATTTCAACTCGCAGTAACATCATTAATATAGCTCGCCGACATGGTGATTTTTACTAATAATTGACTACTCAAAAAATGGTTTATTATTCGGATTTAACCTTTCAATGACTGAACTATTTACTTTTTTCATGTTCTCTTTTCAAGTCATGTGTCAAATGCTTTTCTGATGTTTTCATTTTCCCTTCATTTTCCAGATTGAACCCTCATGTCCTCCGAAACCGTACCATGTCAGCTTGTCCGCTTAAAATGTTTTGCGCTTGTTTTGTGTTATATTTTGCGACTAATCCGCTCAAGACTGACGTCTCAATGTTCACGAATCGCGGTCGTCCCGCTTGCGATGCGAAAGGACGAGTGGAAAATGTCAAATCAATGTGACGAGTAATAAAGGATCGGAAAAATAAAAGAAAAAGGAAGAGAGGACAATCACAGTTGATTTTCAGAAAAAAATGAAAGCATGGATCTTCAAAACAGTTGCTCAACGCTTATTGGTCAAATATGATTACAGTATCTTGGTTACGGTAGATCAGACAGAAGCAGCTCAGTATTGGACTTTACTACATTCATGCAATTTTTATAAAATCCTCTTATTTGAATAATTTGAATCTATTGCCAAATTATCAACTTTGAACAAATGCAGAATATTCTGGGGAAAAAATCAAAAATCTAATCACCTCGATTTACCGTGATTTTCTTAAAATCTCAGTGATTGACCAAAACGACCAAATTTTACATTCAATCGCAGCGTCAAAAATTTGGAAAAAAATTTCAAATTTACAAAATGAAAATTCTTACCTCTGGATCATCGGTAACATCCTGTATCTGGAAATGATTGTTGTTCGATGACGATGAATAAGGATTGACGGCCGCCAGCATCATTCTTGCGCCAGCGCCCTGCCAATCAGTACTTGTCTTTTTAAGCAAATAAAATCAATAAATCAACAAGGATTGAGATGGGGATGAATGGTGAGAGGGAGGAAGAAGTAGAAAACAGGAATAGTTGAGACAAAAAGTGCTTTAGTTTTCGTAAAACTTAAAAAAAATCAATCGTATCAATGATGCAAATATTTAATCTAAGGAAAAACGATGTTAGAAAATCCGAAAAAAATTTTGAGAACGAACAAAATGCCAAAGATGAACAGCTTAAGTTGGAACAGATAATTTGAAAGAAAAGAAATTTCAAAAAACTGGAATCATTTGAATGAAAATTCCAGCAGGTCTCGAGGCCTCTGGAAGAATTGTTTTCTTCAAACTCCTCCCACCCCAGGAAGCATTTTGTTTTCGTCGTTTTCCCACAAAATAGTTTCCAAAGTAGCAAAACAGCTTGCATTTTTTCTACAAAACAGACATTCGCTTCGCATCGGTAACTTTTTTCTTAATGACAAAGCAGTTGTTGTTGTTTCGCGGTATAGTGTTTCTGTTTACTGTCTTTTGACACCGAAACAGAAAAGAATGACATGAGAATGCAAACAAAAATTGTTACTTGGAGAAAACAGGAACAAAATAATGGTTTTTGGAGAGAGTCGCCACATTGGTTAGTTTCCGATATAACGGTTAAAAAAAATTTGGAATTCTGTTGAAGGTATTATTCATTTCGAAAGTACTGTAGAAAAACGAAGTACGACGTTCCTCGTCGAACCTGAAAGAAGAAGAAGAAGGAGATCTAGTAGGTTGGCAGCTAAAGGCACTATTTCCGTCAGCTCTGGATTCTCGCCCCACCGTGCTCTTCCCAACTGAACAATCACCGTTCGATCATCTACTGGGCGAGAATATTTCTCGGTTACGAATTTGTGATATGATCTGCACCTTGGCCAATGGCTTAGCTAAGACCTCACAATGGCCATCCACATAAGAAGTCCAAGAACCCAATAGACTTAGAAAGCGCTGCATGGTCCGCTTAGACGAGTACGGTACGGGCGAGAGCTTAGAGTTGAAAATTTTTTATTTGTAATTGCGTGATATGAACTGCGTGGACAGTGCTTAATTAAGGTCTTACAATGGCCGTCCAACTAGAAGTCTGGAGCCCTTCTTCAATTAGGCGTATTTGGAGACGGTGAGCTCCGACTGGAGGTACACGGTATTGGGCGAAAGTTTAGAGTCGAATTTCTTGACTGTGAATAAATTATTTGAGCTGCAATTTGGGGATTTGCTTGGCTAAAGGACCCGTCATACTTCGCCGAAAAAAGCCCAAAAGCGCCCAAAAGAGCACGAAAGAGTCCAAAAAGGCCCGTAAAAGCCGAAAAAAGCCCGAAAAAGTCCAAAAGCGGTAGAACGAGACGTCCCCTTTCGTTTTGACGCTAAGGCATGGTGTTGATTTCGTAACCGAGTGTTTTTGCTTCATTTTCTGTCGTCTGCACATCAAAATAACGTCAGGATTCCACTATAACTTCGTTTCTGCCTTTCGGCTCTTTCGAGCTTTTACGGGTTTTTTTGGCTTTTCGGACTTTTTTGGGCTTTTCGGGCTTTCTTGAGCGCTTTTGGGCTTTTTTCGGCGAAGTATGACGGGTCTCCCTAAGGTCTCTCAATAAGTGTTCATATGTAAGTCCAGGTTTATACAGATTCAGATGGACACTAGTAACCTCTTAGGTAGTTTTTCCAAGAACAGAACCCCCAAGAATTTTCTGAAGCATCCCGAAAATTCGTGCATACGCACATCTTTGCAAAAACCTGTTCTAATAGAAATGACGTGAATTCCATTGTTCAAGCTTTGAGAAAACATAAAGAGTAGTAAAGTGCATGCGCTGCCCAGGTAGCCGGAGAAAGTTCCAAGAGGCTCAGCGCCTTGGTTACACAGGCTTAACTAAAGCAAGATCTGTGCTTTGGTTCGGAATGTTGAAAAAAGCGATGACTTGCTGATTCTGCAAACATTCGGCTTGAGCTAGAAAGAACTACATAGCCTTGCGAAAGCTAAGGACACACTAGGTCGTTTGGGAAGAGCAGAGCTTTCGGACCATTAAACACTGTAGCGGGGAGGGAAGGGGGGGGGGTAGGAAGCAAGGAAAAACTTGAATCTTGCATAACAGCAAAAGCTCTTGCAACACAAATAGCTTACAAACGCATTTTCACCAGCACAGAGTTTTTTTTTTAGAAAAAATCAACCCAGAAACGGGGCGAAGCTTCTCAAGTTCGATATTGCGAGAAATTAATAAGCCCCTAAAAGATTGCCAATGGTCTTGGAGCAACTTAATTAAGCACATTTTCAAATTTTAGCAACTGCAAAATATTGCGCTAAATCGCCTCATAAGCAAAAATTCTAACAAAATCCGGAATTTGCCGTGTTCTGATCCACAACGTGTTGCAGAGTTTGAAGCGAAGAAGAATCTGGAAACTGGAGAAAGGATGTGGAGAGAAGAGGAACTGCAAGTTACAGATCGAGCTAGTGTTTTCGAAAGTCAAGAAAAATGTTGCAGAGTTGTTAACAAAGGAATTAGCTTGCGCAAGCTGTTCAGTAAACATTGTGCTACGACAATAAGCGTGACGAAGTATGACCAGTGCTCATTCCGCTGCTAGAAGTAAAATATACTTGTCAGTCAAGCACATTCCGAGATCTTTCGATTCATTCCTCCAAACATTACATCTTGCAAAATCGCAAAAGCGGGTTTCCACGGGTTTTTCGCAAATATTGAGTTGGAACAGTCCTGTCGGACCACTTTCAGAAATTCATGCTTCTTGATCTCTAAACAGACTTTTATATTCGCTTGGAAGTAGAAATCATGCGCTTTTTAAATGCTTGTAGCTGGATTCCTTGTATTCACATATAGCTTGTATAGAAGCAATAGAAAAAAATCACTCAAATCTCCGTTTTCCTGTGTTTGGTTATGAAAAATCTGGAACTTGCCATGAAAATCAGAGCCATCAGTAGTATAGGTTCCTTGAACTGGTGCTTCCAAATGAGCAAAGTCTATGCTGATTAGAAGTCTCTAAACCTATGATACCTATGATATTTAAGAAAAATGCTAGAAATAAAATTTGTATTTTTGTACAAACATTCATTCTGTCAGCAGAGACGTTGCTCATTAAAATACCAAGTTAAGAAAAGACCTGTACTACTTGCAGTTTTATTTTCATGGTAAATTACAGATTTTCTATGACCAAACACGGAAATCGGAATTTGAGAAATTTTCTTTAAGCGCTTCTTTCTAAACTATATGTGCGTATTAGGAAGCGTGCTACAAGCAGCTGAAAAGCGCATAATTTCTACTTTCAAATGAATTCAAAAGTATGCAAATCCATTCAGAAATCAAGAAGTTTTGAATTTTTGAAAATAGCGACAGAATTTCTCCTAAATTAATACTTATATTTTACTAGCAACCTTGAGATTTTAGGAAGGCATAGGGGTTGCTTACAATTATATCATAACTGAAGGGGATAATAAAAAATACTTTCCAAACCTTAACACCCATATCAACATTATCAAATGACGGAAAATCGGGAGTGACTAAATCAAATAAACAGAGAGACATTAAGTGACGAGCGGAGGAGGACAAGAGCGAGGGGAATAAGAGATTTAAAAAAGAAGGTATCAACAGCTACCGCCGCTTAGAAACTTTGTTATACGTGACTGTGTAATCAAAGATGCTCCAGAGAACAAACATGACTCATGAAAAACCAAAAGAGATGATTCTTCTATTGAATTACATGACGTGATGAGCCACAAAGCTAACAGGAAGCACTTGCTACAATGGCGCAACTGAAGGAGATTTGAGCCCTATGTTTGATCATCTACTTCTCTGCAAGAGACCAGTTTCTTTCACTAGGCAATTTCAGTAAATGTTGACTCACTTGTCAATCACAGACACAAACCAAGAAAAAGTGGAGAAAGAAGAAAAAAATGGTGGAAAAAATCTGAGAAAGCAAACAAATTTCCGCGGGGAAGGACGTAAAATGGTGGGTTGGACGGGGGCAAAAAATACTGAAAACTGATGGACATGTACGAAGATTGAAAAAAAAAGAGGAAGTCCCTTTGATTCAACTGGCCTGGCGGCTGGAAGGCGGGGCTTCGTGACCTAATCACGGCTAGATAATGGTCGGAGAGCACGCGCGCGACAGAGACGCAGATTGCGTCGCGGGCGCGAGCGGCCTTAAATAGGTCACAAAGATCCGCCTTCCAGCCGCCAAGCCAGTTGAATCAAAGTTACTTGAGTGAACGTAAGGGCCAATAATTAGATAGGTATTGATTGCAATTCAATGAAATACTCAGATTGGTTAAATATCGAATTTTTTCTCTATGAAAGATTTAGATTATTGAAAGTGCATGAAGTTTACATAAGCAAGTAGGACAACAATCAATCAATAAGGAATTTGAAAATGTGTAAAAAAAGGACGAATAATTGATCGGATGAATGAATACGTAGTCAAAAATAGCCGAAATGTACAGAAAAATCAACAATGACGTGATCGGATTCCCCCCTCCCCCGTCTGCTTCAATAATAGTACTCGAGTACTTGTCTTTATCTGAAAAGCTTCCGTTGCCTTTTTTCATTTATGATAAGAGGCACTCGAAAGTTCAAACATCTTGAATGTTTATCCCCCTCGACCTCGCGCCACGCCCACTCTCCACACCCTCCCCCCTCCAAACAGGAATTTTACCATTTGCTTCTCACCCGTGACTATTTGCACATGCAAATTCGATACCGTATTCGATTACGCAGCTATAAAAAGCGAAATGGAATTGCTAGAAAAAGTTCTGGTCGTGAGAAAACCGCAAAAATTGCCATAGCCTTGGAGCGGACCATAAAAAAATCATGGGAACATGATTTTTTTATGGTCTCTCCAAATGAGGTGACAGCGATAACCGCATCTTTTGCGCACCCCAACGTTTTCGAAACTTCGGTGTCGATAGCCGTTTGGAACCTGTTTTCGAACATTACGAAAAAGGTGACACCTCGGTGAAA